GGATTATGGGAAGGTAACCATTTGATCGATTTCACTTCCATTTAATAGAAGTAGGCATATATTACGATGGATGTGCAAGATGAACAGTAATCTGACGATTTCTGACTTGTTTGATGTGGGTGTTAATCACATCATGAAAGAGATTGAAGATCTGATTTCACACACCTGAAATCTCCCCTAATTGGGATTTTTCGCATTCATAACCAAGGGAGGAGAGAATACTATTTGACGGCCCAAAAATTGATGCAAAAGCAATTAAACAACGTAAAACTCTGAGTGCTCTTGCACATTGACCCCATTAATAAAAAAATGCTATCAATGAATGGAATAAAATATTCACGTTTCATTTCATCTTTTTTTAGCGCAAAGTTTCGTGAACTAAGTTTACATTCGTTATATACTCATTGTAACTAAGCTTATAAGCATTACTACCCCTATAAGAGCCAAGAATCTTGTAATAGTAGTAAATAACTTCCAAGCCCTTTTTGAAGCATCTTCCGTTAATCACGTTAACCAAAAGTGCAAGCTGTCATGAAAATTGAACTTCAGCTACCCCCCCCCCCGCCCCCAAGCCAGCAAGGTTCAACCAGAAGGTTGGAAATTCCGCGTGTGTACCAATGCGTACTGGTCACGTGATCACCAGGTTCGCACACAGGCACGCTGACTATTGCGTTACCGGTGTTAATCACGATTGGCTATTACCAAAAGGAACACACTAAGTGAGCGGTCAACGATATGCTACTGAAGTCCCAAGAAAAACAGAGAAAAAATAATTATGGAGACTAGAATATATTGAACAAATCACAATAAGAATTCGAGGGGGGGGGGGAGGGGTAGTGGAGAGATGGGGATTGAGGAGAAGAGAGAGTTGCTTAGAATAAGATGATTTCCAAGCCTGTGTATGTGTGCTTTTTCATAAAAACTTAGTCATTCCAGTCGATAAGATCTTTCATAATTCGGAAATGTGTTGAAATACTTCTAAAGTTTTGAATCATTTGCCACTTGTTCCATTTATGCACTCTCCAAGCAATCTGAAATCAGAAAATAAAAAAGTTTATCAATCTAGAATAATGTCGCTATGTCCGGAACTACGGAAAAGTTTTAGCTATATTATTTTTACAAAATGGAGACTGTCTAAAGGAAAAAACGTTTTTGTACCACTTTTTTGAACATTCTTCAATTTTTTAAAAATAGAAAATATTAAAATTTTTAGATGGCCGTAGTTCCGGACATAGCCGAGTTCCTAAAGAGGACTCTCTTAAAATTTCAAGTAAATCGGTTGGGCAGAATCTGAGAAATCGTGGGTATCAGATTCAAAAAAACAGTTTTGAGAAAAACGCGTTTAATGTTTCAAGTAAAATTTTTTGCAGTCTAAGTCATAAAATTATATATTTAACTTACATTTATTCAATCTGTCATTCCTGCTGCATACATCGGACCTTCCTCGACTTCGAAAAAAAACTATTTTCGGCGTCTCTGTTTTCTATTCGAGCAGTTCTGGCCTCCTATGATGCGCTTTAGGCTCGTATCTCGGAGCGGTCAATCCAAGTGTTATCTCGTCTGATAACAAATCCATGCGTTTCTAAACCAATTTTCACTCCCATAATCGTCATCATCTTTAATATCGGTATAAATCCTTCATTAAAAATACACACAGCAATAAATATTAAAAATACACACAGCAATAAATATTACAATTTCAATGATCTGAGACCTGGAATGGATATGCTTTGGAGCGCAAGTCCATATAGGCGAGTTTAGAGACTCATTATTATTTTGATTTTCTTAACCCAAACATCGAATCAATAACTCTTCTGATGATAAGCTTCGAAGGAATTGTCAACGAATAGACATGATGGAATGTAGTGTAGACTATTGCAACTGCATTGTAATGTAATTTTGAACCCGAGTCCGCGTTGAGCCGTTCTTGAAAATATAATCTCGTTGTTGTATGTAGTACCCGAAATAAACAAAGAAATTGCTGAAAAGACCGTGAAAAACTCAAAGCACAGTTGTTGTAACTATTATCTACAATTACTTCTTCATCATTTGGTTTCCTCAATTTTGCTGCTGATGCACTCATAGTTTTCCTCAATTTTGCTGCTGATGCACTCGTAAAACTGGTGTTTTCCTGTTCCGTTAATCAATAGATAGATAGATAGATAGATAGATAGATAGATAGATAGATATAGCGGAACAAAAGGGCTTACTAAGAAATATAGATTCAGGTAGTCGGAGAACTCATTATGTCTTTTGTTCGATTAGTTGCAGCCCAATCGATTTGGATGCCTGCTCAGCAAAATATTTACATCTCCTAAACTTATTTGAATTTTGGTAAAATCCTCTCGTAGACATCTTCGTGAATAGTTAAAGTATGAAAATATGGGAAAAAATTTTCAAAAATTTTTTTTTCTAGACCAGAATACCCCCTTAATGTCTAAATTTCAATTCTTTATTTCTTCAGACTCCACTCCTCCTCAATCTATTGCCTCATTTAACTAGTTCGTTGCTCCCATGACTCAAAATATTCTTCGTCGCCATGGTAACAAATTGCACAAACCGGACTTTTGTGTTTGGAGAAAAAGTGGATGGGTGCACATGGCGTGCCTTTCTAAGAGTGAGGACTTATTGACCTAAACGAAAAAATCATAGTTGTGGCGATATATGCAAATGAAGTGAATTTCTGAAAAAATGAGCACTTAAAGCTTTCGTAATGTCAGGAGTAAACTTATGTTTTGCCGAATAAAAAGTGAGTTGTAAAATGCTTGAATCTAAACATTAGCATGGGTACTAATAGTTATATCAGACGGCAGGCTTCATGGTAGTTATCATTAGCCCTTTCGTTGACTTCGGGGTACCATAGAGGGGAGGAACATCAAAGTCACAAAAATAGGCAGGGAGGAAGAGGAGAGAAGAGTGATTCACAGGTGCAGAAGAGACAGGCACAAATGTAAGGAAAAGGGTAAGGTGAGTACTATGAAAGTGGTGAAATATGACATACATTCGGGTCTTGCACACCCCAGGTGCAGCCAATATTAAAAAGGAACAGTTTGTTAAATTTAGGGTCAAGTATTTAATGACTCATCACGTAAGATCTAGCTACAATTATTTAAAACCCAATGCTTGATAAGTTCGGTATTATGAACAGGTATTATTTCAACCGTAAGTCACTAGCGAAATGACCAATTAGGTATATAATTGATTGAGAAATCACAAACCATGTAATTCATGAATTATATTTGATATCCTTTTCTTTAATTTGATAAGAGAATGAAATCATTTCCCCACACTAAGCAAAATTTCGATACGGTCCATGTGGAATTGTGAAAAGTGAAGCATTTCATCCTTTATTGGAAATAGTTATTAGAAGAGTTTTTAGGTCAAGTACCCAAGCAAACCCACTGTGATAAGAGGCATACAAGTGAATTTCATTTATCTAGTTCTGCAAGTAAAATTAAATGTGGGTGGATTAGACGTTTCAAGGTCATCTGACTGATGCTGTATTTAAGGGCAGATTTGGATAACTACGGAATAACCACTTAGATAAAAACGCACATGTTATAACTAAATCACTTTCTAATCACATCCCTCCTAAATCCACTGCAGTTTTTAAATGTCTTGCAGCATTGTTTTCGCAGATTGTAGCAGTAAACCACATGATTCAGTATCAATTTACAAATCCATTGAGTACTTCATAAAGTCAAACTTAAAAAGTTCCTCCGTTTAGCACTAATATATTGAACCTTTAGACCACACTCAAGTGTTGCAGTATCTTGACCTCACATTAGCGCCACATTTTAAATTATCTTGGTCAGCACAAACACCTTCATTAAGAAACTCCCCATAGATCATAACTAGAAAAATTACAGTATGTTCCCTTTCTGGATTAGAAATTTTCCCACCGTCAAAACAATGACGGAGTGACAAATTGCTGGGCTAATTAGCACAACAAGCACCTACTCGAATAATAATTGCCTTCAAACATGTTAATCTTCTCGCTTAAAATAGTAAATGATCGATTTGTCTGGTAAGAACAATTAGCGCAGTGAGCGTTGAATTAAGCGTGACCGTTTCGCGCAAATATTCGTGCGAAGACTGTAGCGGAAAGTGTCGATTTACGCAATTCTACTTTAGACAAAGGAAAACTCCCAATAAACGAAATGCTAGGACAATAACATAGATTTATTTTCGAAGTAATTCTTTGTTCCCCAAATAGAAAAAATGGCATATTAATGAGAAAATACGATGAAGATCAAAATACGCAGAGAGTGAAACGGAGACTGGACTGGGGGACTAAGATAACAAACATCTTGTGAATTCGTGTCTAAGGGGGTCACATAGAATGGAACGGGGTAGGGCTAATTAGGAGGCGGTTGGCGTTGTGGTGGGAGTTGGGGCATTGGAAAGACGGGCATAGGGTATTGGAACCCATACATTCCGTATTCGGGCATTTGTGGCATTGGTTGCGCTAAAATAAAAAAACAGAAGTTATTTAATAAAACTATTTTGCCAAAGCAATACTGATAAGAATCAGACAAGAACAATTTATCTCGATTATTTCCTTAAAGAATCCTGATTTCGTCTGAGCCCAAATGATTGAGAATTCGACCAATCCCAAGTCTAACCCCACCCCACATAGACATTTCAACGTTAAGAAGTAATCTCGAGTAGATTTAAGAGGGCAGTTGCATCGAAGATAACAAATAACCAACTGTCCGTTTCAACCAACACAAGTGAGCTAATGATATGGTTAGACTTAAATTAATAAACTAATCAATCGGCTAAAATTCGCTAAAACAGGGGTCGAAGAGCATGAACTTGATTTTGGAGAAAAACTTTAAGTGTATTCGGAAATAAGAAACAGTACAATAACTGAGCTCAATAGCGAAGGAGCAGTTTTATCCCACTCATCTTTAACCTGTTAGCAACTTTCCCGCCTTCACATTGGTCAAGATGTACAAAGGACTGCAACCAGCCAAAGACAAAATGAAGAACTGTGCCTAAAGTTTATACCTATAGCCACTAGCCCTTCTCAAAAAAAGAAATTTAGCCTTACAAAATGTCTTGACGATTATGGCGAGTATAGTATCAATCAAGCGCTTACATGGATAACCCTGAGGTGGTATGCCATATTGTGGCCAGAATCCCATTGGTTGAGGAGCACCATACATCGGGAATGCATTGGGAGGTGCATTCGCGTTCGTGGTTGGGGCAGTCGGAGGTGGTGGTCGAGGTGGAGGATCAGAATTCGACGGTTTGCCCGGTAGTTCTATAGAACAAACAAGACCCCATATCACAAAAAAGACGCCATATAACCCCAAAAACTGAATTCACGCGTTCCCGAGCCCACTAGAAGTATTAATAACACCAGGAAAAAACAGAAAGTATTCTAAAGTAACTTCCATTGTAAATCAGAAATAGTGAGGATAGTTAGCTAATAATACAAATAGACACTGACAAATGACCTCCGAAATGTGAAAGGAGAAATAAATTTTTAACCACAATAATAAATTTTATATTGATTAGCCTAAAGTGCCAATAATGGTCATTTTTAAAATAATACTAGACATTTTCGTCTTTACTTGCCATAAAAAGGATTCTCAGAACTTTAATTTAGTCCGCCACAATCGCTACTTAAAATTCTGATACCACATATGTGAGTTGTATAGTAAATGCACCATTCTTAGCGCGTAGGTAATAACAAATTGGATAAGAAAAGCCCAACATCTGTTGCCATGTAATCGGATTGACAATAATCGAAAAAGGAATTACAACGAGCGTTAGAAATAATCGGTATGTGCAATAATGTATTGAAAGAGATGTTTAATACGTTAATAATAATTTGCAAACTAGTTGAAGGGAAGCAGTTTCAACCCCAATTTTGACCAATGACCTCGGGATCAGCAGATACACAAGTGAATCTCAATGCTACTAATGCGGACCTAATAGTGCATAAATAGGGATAGGCAACCCATTCGTTATGCGAGCGCCCCAAACAACTTCGTTTTCAATTACAGAATAGAAGGGTAAATAATCTTACCGGATAATTTACCAGGACTTTCAGCAGTAATTTCCTTCGAAATATCCTTCATGAGCTCTTGTTTTTCGGTTTGTCTTGCAAACACATAATCCGACACCTACAAAATCACAACTGCAACTGAACAAATCACCGAAAGCATAATAACAAATAATTGGAACGCACTTTATTCTGGAACTTGACGAGTATACCAGTCAGATCAGCGTAGAAAGTGATGCCCTGACGAACATCTTGTAAGAGTTGTTCATAGGCCTCAGTGGCCTGAATGAGGGTCGTAAGAATGGAGGCATCATTCTTTTGCTTGCCAAAAATAGCCTCATAGGACTTTTGAATCTCCGCAAGGAGCTCAGTCTGTTTATTCAAACTCTCTTTGACACAATCACGAGCTGTTTCAAGGGCCTTGTTAATGTGCTCCGTTGCGAGGTCTTGAGCATTCGAAATTGCAGAAGTCTTAGTGTACACTTTGAGGTACTCATTTGCTAAGGGAAGAAAAAAACACGGCAATAATGGCATAGGCTTCGTATCTTGTTTCTACCGCCAAATGGAGAACAGAAATTATTCCCCCATTAACTTCTAAAGAAAAAATACATTAAATTGGTATTTCCGCTAGTATCCTATTCACTGTTAATTGATATTTTAAATAATTAATTTATGTAATTCTAATGAGTTTGAAATAAATTTTAACAAAAGTCCGCGCTTATACATACTTTAAACTTAACGAAGTCGATTTAAGCGCAAATACATCGAATTGAAAAGAAACCACAGAATTTTAGAGATAAGCTTTCCCCAAATGCCACTCAATTCTGCTCCTCCAAGTTCGGTAGAGAACGAATTATCATCAATGATAACAAGTTTTTGATTGCTTAAATAAAAAAGACAAATAACAATTTTTAACGACAGTGGATAAAGAATTAATAGGACAAGTATTAAATGACGAAAAAAGCACCGACGTCATTTCTGACTCTAAACCTCAAATTATGCTAAATTGAAGTCTCATTTTATTGAACTTGAACAGCACGATGGCAACGACGAGAAACATTAACAATCACCGAATAAAAGTATACAGGGCCGTGATTCGTAAATAACTATAATTGATTGGTTTTATGAAAAAAATAACAAGTTAAAATAATAGTGCCACATACTCAAGCTTTCAGGAAGAGTAGTTTCTTCTAGTTGTTTCATCAAATCTAACCGTTCTTTCTTCATGTTTTCAATTTGATCGCACAAATTTTTAAGGGAACGTTTCTTTGATGAACTGCCTGCATCCGTAGATGAGTTGGAACATTCATTTCCCATTTTACCTACGATGTATTCAGTCAAATCACTTGTAGAACCACTGAGAACAGTAAATGAAGCCTCATGAGTGTTGAAGCGATCTTTGAGACCTTTGTCGGTTGCGCCAGCCTGATTCAATAATTCACGGTGTTTATCGAGTTCAGCTTTCCACTGGGAATTCAGCTTACTAGACTCTTGGCGGTTCCACTTATCGCCATATTTCCTACGCAATTCGTCATCGGTCTTTTCCTCTTCATTCAACGTACTAGTAATCTGAAAGCAAAAAAAAACTATTAACTAAAAATCAAGGAAGTAAACTTAAAATCAGTGAGTATTGAACGTACATCAGCTACCATTTCCGCGTTTCTCGTGTTACCATCAGATAAAGAAGAAACTTTATCCCTCAGACCATTAACACCACCATTTTCCTTTATTATGATAGCCTTTTTCAAAAGGGATGGGGGAATGACATCATCAGAACCATCGAAAGACTCCACCACAGCAGGGAGGTTAAGCGACGCCATTAAAGCGTTGCAAGTTTCAGTGGCTTCTCGAAGCTTTTGAACTTCAGCACCAACCATTTGTCTTTTAACACCCTCTGCCATTTGGCTGGCATTGTACACTTGAATGGGTACAAGGGCCTTGAACAGATCCTTAGGGGGTTTTCCTTCAAGAGGGAATTCAACTGGAAGTTTCTTTGCAACCACAGCGACACCGACCGAACCAAGTGCCTTAACATCCGGAATTAACTCATGATATATTAAATCATTGTCTTTTTTTGCTCGATCTCGCATCTTCTCAACTTTCGCAGCAAAATCCTTCATGCCGGAAATCCTTTTGCAGAGCAGTAGGACCTTCTGTAAACATTTAAATAAGATGACCAAACTACCAAGAAAAACGAAAATAGAAAAAAACTCTCACATTCAATCGGGCAATCTGTTCACCGAAACTCTGCTCAGCTTCTGCGGCTAAAGCGCCATAGTACTCAGCGTAGATTTCCATGTTAGCAGCATTAGCGGCAATAATACTAGACCAGTCTTTAGGAAGGTATGGCTTCAGAGATGGCAAAGTGATAACTTGCAAGGCTGCAGTATAAAGAGTGCTTGCTTGGAGGGCTAACTTCGCAATAATTGAAGGCTTCATATTGTCTGGAATAAATTAACTTTAAACAACCGATTGACAAAGAGGCTATCAAAAATGAATTATATACCTTTCTCCGCTTTAGTGAAAATGCATTCCTGAGCTTGTGCGACCATTAAACTAGCGTACCCATCCAGAGCCTCATTAGACATATCCCATGTTGGAGATTGTGAGTAGCAGGAAGGTAACATTGCTTTAACATAGTCAAATAAACCAGCTGATATTTGAAAAGACCTAGCAGCAGTTTTGAGACCAGAATCGTCGTCAAGATTTTGACCTTTTGCAATTTGACTCTGAATAGCGGCAAGATTGAAAAGCATACAGCAACGATCGAAACTGGCGTTAAATCCCTCTAAATTAAGATCGATCGGGAAATACGAAACCAACTTACTCATTGAGCTCCTAAAAACTTTCGAGTTGCCACAGAAGCAGTCAAACCATTTGTACTGAATAGGTATATCCGTATTAGTTAATGGAATACGATGTTCCAGATCTTCCATTAAATCACAATATCTAAAATAAAGATAAATGGAAAGAAATATCAGGCATATCAACATTTAATTTCAAATATGAACGGGTCAACATAGATCTAGCATATTAGTATACTTGTATAGACAAATCAGTATATACTTACGATGCAATAAGCTTAGCAGTACTTTCGTGCCCATCATCAAGCTTAGCCAAGATTTCATTACGAAGTTTTTGAATATATTCCAAACCCTTCTTGCATGCAGCTGCTTGACCAGTCCCCATATTGCCCTTTAGGTAAGCTTCAATTGGCTTCGACAAATTCGTTTCAGAACCTTTCTTACAGGGTACACTGATATAGACCATTTTTCTCCCCGGAAATTAGCAAAGTGAAGTGGGCGGTACTAACGACTTTTATCATCGGATTTTAAAACAAGTAATATTGACATAAAATTTCCCGTATTTTACATAAAGTTTTTAATAAAAATAAAAAATCTCTATTAATTTTTTATTTTTTAGTAGCTTTCCAAAATATAGTTTACTTATATTCAATTTTTGCAGATAGATGCGTTTTAATCTCGCAAAATTGTCTTACTTATTATTTAATTTTGTGTTAGAAACCGCACGTTTTAGTTTTTTTGCCAAAACGAATAGCCGATGAATATTTTCAATAAAAAGCATTGATTTTAATAGTACAATTGTAATTGTCAATTTTCTTCCCATGACCCTTAAGCATTTTACGCACCTATACCACCTTCTCCTTGGGTGTCCTTTCGGATTTTTATTTTAACTATAGAGAAAATGAATGTGCAATTATAAAAAATCATATGCACTATGTTTTCATAAATGACATTTCAATGGAAATGGCATACGGGAGAGAATATTTTGTATTTTAATGCATTTCTATATCATTTTGCGCCAGTTAGCACAACTAATGTTCTCCCGTGTAGCACTTCGTTACACATGTATGTGATCATATTAAAATTTTAATCGAACTGAATTAATTAAAAGGCTAATTTTGAAGGAATTCACGTTTGCGCCATGAGGTCCTCATGATGATTTTAAATCGGTAGCCCGTCGTAAGTTAGATTAAGAGCAAGATACAAAAACTACCAATCTGATCAATTGACTTGGCGTAAGCCTTATAGAAACGCAATTACATTATATTGAACTTAATTGATATTCTGTTACTGAATTCTCCAAACCAGTTTCCAAGTAGAAGCTATAAATATTACTTGATTTCCGCTTTTGTCAAAATGTTCATATAGAAAATAAAAATATAATAAAATTAAGAAATTGTATTAAATGCGTAGATGCTACATATAGTGGCTTTTTAATGGGTGTAATGTCCAAAATGACAAGCATCTAATTTATATTACATTGCAAGCATTTGCCATGAATAATGTTCTGTCATAATAAATCAATGAAGATAAACTCATGAATTTGTACGAACCTACAGGGAAGTTGTACAGTTGGCCAATCCAAGACATGTTTTAGTGCTAAAATCCATGATTGGCAGTTTTCGGTTGAGATGTAAAAATACAATTCAGGTTCTAATTTAGTATGTATTCAAAATGTACTTTATTTAAAATTAAAATAACCTAACTCAGCTCATACAAAATGGGTTTAGTAGCATACAAATTTTTCATTTAGCGCGGTGAATTTCAATGAATTAATTTCATCTGGAGGCAGAAGAGTTCGTATTTTGTGGAGTGGTTTGCCATTTCCATCTACTAGGTATTCATCGCAAAATTGAAGGCCATCAATTCTATTAGATGCTGTGGGAGAAGGACAGCGCGCAACAAATGGGTGCTTGTTCAAAAGACTTTCACATTCCACGCTTTCTGAGGCGATTGAATGCTCAAGAGCGTGTGAATAATAGGCTGAAACACAATCATGATTTTTGTAGTAGGCTTGTAGGACGTGAATGGGACTACGCGGCGCTGGATACCAATGTCCTCCAAATGGCCTATAGGTCACGGGGAAGATCTTTGTGAGGTCGAGGTAAATCGGTTCAGAAGCTAGCTCCTTAGCCATATGACTTCCAGTACTTTGAAAGTATAGAATATCCAGAAAAGGCCATGACCATGTACAACCAGGTATACGAAAACTACCAATAGTGTCGGAATTTACGTCCACGCGTTCATCCAAGGGGTTTAAAAAAAGTTTGTCACGAACATCTTGTGAGGCCGTACCGAATTCATAAGACAGATTTCTTAAAGCAGATTGAATTACTGTACGATATCGAACATGCACACATACATCAGCATCATCATCCCACGGAATCATATCCTGGTTTCTCATGGACCCTATTAGTGAACCTGCAGAAAGAAACCATTGATCTTGAAGATTAAGGGCAATCATAACCCGTTGAAACTCATTTAAAAGTTTCTTGAATGAGTTGTATTGTCCTTGACTCAGCTTCAAGTCGAAATACTTTCCAGTTGACCTTCGAGTAAAGTTTGGTCTAGTAGAATAAGGCCACTGCATTGAAGAGAGATCTGGAAGAGACTTTAGATCAGGTCCTCGGTCTGGTAATACCAAATAAGGGTCAAAATTTGAATAAATAGGATTTGAAAATATGATTCGTTTATTGAGAATCGGCCTAGGATACATCAATCGTATCACAAGTAAAATCAACAGCAAACCAAGTATCCATTTAATATATTTTGAATAGCTCTATAAGCGAATTTGAATAAAAGTGTAATAAAAGAATATGTTAAGTAAAATATGCTTCATAAAATTTTGACTTACATAGCCTATCGGAGAGCTATTCATTATAAATTCCAAACGGTCGGACTCTGTCGGCTCCTAGAGCAAAGTTTTAATAAATGTGTTTTGGCTTATTCACACAAAATGTAATTTTGGTCCACACATGCATGGATCGATAAATCAATAAAGTTTCAGTTTTCACTAAAACCAAATTAGTTTATCGTTTACTTAACGAGTGACTTGCTGATTGTGTACGATTTCGATTTTTTTAATGCTGAAAGTAGTGACTCAATACTTGGAAATAATTATATTAAAAGCTTAACTGAAGCGCAAATGGGTGTGGGGAATTCTGTTCTCATTTAGATTTATTATCATTTCATAGATAATGTGCATTTCCAAAGCTTGAATTATCTTGATCCCACTTTAAAGTACATTTTAAGGAGGTTTATACTAAGGAAGTCTTTCAATTGTTTACTTTCATTGACTAGTCCAGGGAAAGTTCAAGAAGTTAGCATTTAGAAGACTTACAATAAACCTAGTGTGGTTCATTCAATGTCCTATCACGTTCTACTTTTCCCTTATCCAATTCCATTTTATAGATCATTCTACTAGTACTCATTAACATTTCATTATTCATATTGGCACTAAAAGGCCAAGCGATAATATCACTATTACACGAGACTTCTCTTTGAATTAAAGTGATTAGATAATCTGCTTATTTCATTGGGGAATTGATAAGAAAATAATGAACACACTTTCTATAAATACTAATTAACTGTTTACTTGGACTATCTGCGATGTAAGGGTAAAGTTGTTTGGTGATCATTAAATGAAAACTTAATATTTGTATTAGAATGCTTTAAAACATTTATTCATTTCAAATGGCAGGCTTTATGATAGTTATCATGAGCCCTTTGGCTAACTTCGGACTTCACAGAGGAGAGAAACATCAAAGTGAGAAAAATTCGAGAGGGGGAACAGAAAAGTGATTCAATTATGCAAGAGATTGACAGACACAATGATAGAGAGTAGGGTAAGGGGAGTACTGTAGAAGTGATTGACTATGATACACAGTGGGGTCATGGTAGTTAGAAGTCAGAATTCAATTGCAGGTTAATAGACTTTTTTGCCGTATGTGTATACGTTGCCCAGGGTGCACCACGTGGAGGTACGTCTATTGCACACCCCGGAATCCAGACTAATAGAGTTACAATACGCATGTTTGCTATTTATTTATTGCCTGCAATAGGAAAATAAAGTCAAAACAACATTGAATTTGAATTGTGACTATTTTGCTTCTGAAGTATAGTCCACTGCTTTCCTAACATCTTTCAGCTTTCTGAATGAATTCATGTTCGTGAAGTTATTTGAAACAATATTCACGGTTGGTCAGGCACATAAGTTAATATTAATTCCTACGGAATGCCAAGAGCTAAAATACCTTCACCATTGCAGCGTGAAATCATAAAGGCTTTTCTGCTACTTATTTTTTGATATAAGTAAACTTTGCCCCTTCATCTCACCCTTCACCTTTCAGTTAATTACCCTCTTCCACCACGCTTCTCTAGTCTAATTAGTTTGCTAGAACTCCAGCAGTAATAAATGAGTTACTTAACCAGAAATGAATCATTGGTTTAATGAACCGTTTATTAAGGCAGAAATAAAAATTGAAGTAATTAATAAAATAAAACCACCGCATGAAATAAGAATTTATTTTTTTAATTAAAGACCGCGATCACATTGAATATACTCAGAAAGAATGGCAATTTCCTCTAGCGTATTAATCAAAAATTCCTCTTCATGTTCTACTTTCCTTTTGATGGCCTCATAGCAGGCCCATTCAAGAAGAAATTGAAATTTTGAGTAGCACGAAGCGTCCAAAGACCACATTCTCCATCGGTTTTTGTCTAAAAATTTCTCTCTGAAGGAAAAGCATTTCATTAATTTCGTCACTAGGAATTCGTACACACTGAATCTCTCCGTGTCATCACTATTATGAAGCCACAGAATTTCGATTTTTTGGTTTTTAGTACAGCGTTGTGAAATCTTTACAAGGTCTGTAAGCATTTTGCTTGTATCCTTTAAATTCAACTTATTTATCACGTAGAAAATGCAGTCTGCCTTCTCTATGGCTTTCTCGAGTGCTTCATCATATTGATTTTTCAAAATAAGCATCCAGTCAATTTCAATTGTTGTAAGGGTTGATGTTTTCGAGCAATTCGTTCTATGAAGGGCGTAAATGTCATCCCGATCTTGACCCTCAATTCCTCTATTAGATATATAAGTAAGAAGGGGTAATAGCTCTTTGAAAGACTCTTTCTTGAACTTGTTTTCTGACGCTAGTATTAGACATCGAACTCGTTGCAACATGGCTGGATATTTGGTATGTATTGACGTATTCTGAAAACATTTAATGCTTTTTTGTTTGTATGATTCAACTTCTGGAATGTTTCTGAGTTTAATAGCACCACTTTTATCGGGCCAGATAAGAGAGAATATGTGCTGATCAATCCATTCTAGACTTTTGAGATATTGATCTATTGGGATGGGAATTTGCTCAAGTCCAGACCTAAGATTCAAACTATTTGTTTCTTGATTCGATATGATCGATTTTATTATATTCCATTCATTAGAAAGACCAGGCAGATGTTCTTCGCAATTTGAGGAATCATTTAGTCTTACCTATAAAGGAATTAAACATTTACTTGTGCTCGAGAAATAAATTGATAAGTGATTTATAACCTACCATACTGCACAACGATGCAGTCTAACGGACTTGCACTATAAAATTTTTCAAATGATTTTTACTGAGTAAATGACAGATCGAATGATAACTGTAACGGAAATGACCTATCATTGGTCAAATTAAGTAGGTGAGATAATATTACTGTTCTGATTACTCTCAAGAGTGCAAAAATTTTGCAATTAACCAAATTAAAGTAGGGTCTGTCACATTTAGCCTGAAATTAGGCCGATATTTGACAATATGAAGGATCCGCCCAACGAAAGTAAAATTTTGTAATGGTATAAAATAAAAACCTACCAAATGAATTCGATCACTATATGTCGTTTCAGAATTGTAACATTTATTTGGTTAGGTGGGAAATTTAGTTACTTTGAAATATTAGTTTGTAATCTTCAATGATTGAGAGATTATGCATTCAGGTTACGTTGAAAGTATATAATATGAAGTGATTCTACCTTATTTATAATAATCTTCAAATAAAAATTAAACAATGATGAAGAAATAAGGCTACAGGAACATCTTTCATTTCGTTTTATATGACCCTTTTAAGCCATGCATTCAGTTCATTGATTTTTTAACTCAATACAATTTAGTAAAAAATTCAATACATTTTTATCTGGTTATCTTAAAAATGATAACGTGGTAGCTTTATGTATTGGACTAAATTCATGTTAAATATTTCAAATATTATGATTTCAAAAAGATGTTTATAATTTAAGACCATCAAAATATCATACAGCATTCTCTTAATGAGGAAATATTTAAGGTTTTCTTGAAATAAATAAGCTTGCTATCACGATATAGAAAGGCGCGCGTGGTATGTTTTTTTACTCTAGTTATTGCTTCTCACGTCAGCGATGTATAATGCTCCTGCCTCTAGAAATATATCAAATGAAAAATTATCTACAATTTCTAGCATAAATAGAGGTGGTCAGAATGTTAATCTTCTCGGGATTGTTCTTCACAAGACAAGTATCAAACGGGTAGAGAGTAAAGATTGTCAGCAACCATGTCGGGGTGTATTTTCTTTCGTTCTGAGAGATAACCTGCATTCGTGGGTAAATTTAAATTACTGGGGTTCTTACAAGTCAGCTGGGGAATTATCAGCTAGCTTTTCAATAGGTAAATGCTATCCAATTAAATCAACTTGCTTAAGGTGACGTTGTATTGGTACTGCAAGGTCAATCGAAAATAATAAACGAAGGATCCTATGAAGAAAGATACATGTTTCACACACCAAGCCGTTTCACCATTTTACTAAATGAGAATCGTTCTCGTATTCTTCCGTACAGTTGTAATAATAAAGTCCAAATTAAAAAGCTTCAGGTAAATGCCAAATTTGTTGCCAAAGTTTTTCATATGAACTTGTTGCATACGACTCTATGCGGTGTTCATATAAATCAGATATTTTCATTTTAAAATATAACCTTTTGTGCAATAGAATAAGCTTACCTTATTCTTGAACTTATGTTTAGCTTTTTTGCTGAATCTCGAGAAAGCACTAATTCCTTAAATTCACGACTATAACAAATTTTGTCTTCGGAAACCGTTTTCTAATATCTCTGTTTCCTTGACGGCTGTTTTTTCTATTCTGTTTGTAAATTTTTACTTCGCACCTGGTAACAATGGGTCGCTATCATTATATTTAACGGCAATTTACCAACTACTGAAATCGGATAAGTAAGGGATGATATTTCTCTTCCAGACGGAACTTCTATGTTCTCCAGGATATCACATCTCTTTGAAGCAAGTCGTACAGTACATCTATAAAAACAATGCACCTGTTGGAAACACAAAAAATCAGAATACGCTTAACCTCGGTCAACAGGCCGTCAAACACCAACCTCAATTTTTCACCTTCTTTGCAGCTGTAATGGAGGTGGGTGAAATGAAATCCGTCCTTGTTAAAAAACCTCCACTAAAGTCCACAATTCCTGAGTTGATGAGCTCTGATTTCAATATCTCCACCGATGAGGGAAAGAGCAGTCAGGTCTTGCTTCACAAGTGTGAAATCACTCTTATTGACGAAACTTGTGGTCACTTTCCCATGATCCTCTGGAATGAAGATCTCATCATGTATGCCCATAGATTCTGGAAATCCAAGGTAAAACCTAATTTTATGAAATCATCTTCTTACATATTTGCTTTGTTCAACTCACTATTTATAATAAAGTGGGCTAAACTATATTAATGCTATTGCGTGCAAACTTTAAGGTTATATTAGTCGGATATAATTTATAAATATATTGAATCATATCGACTTTTAAAATGACTCAATGACAGTAATTCACCTTTTAAGTGTTAAAAATGGGAATATATCTTCAAATTTCCCGTTAGAGCCTTTGAATTTCCCAACTTTATCAATGCTCAACCATTAAAATCTTAATTTTTCTGTTATGTTATTGTAATTTTCAATAAAAAATGATTGTAACTCAAACTGGTCATAAAAATCATCTATGATAAATTGAAAATTTTTAAGGACGAATTTTCTTGAATCCACTAACATTTTTTGTAAAATATCTTTTAATTTTATGACTGAATTTGGAATAGTAGTCACTTACAGAATGCAATTTACGGAGTTGGTGGATTAGGCAAACTTCCAATTTACACTATCAAATTCCATTTGCAGCTTTTGGAACTATTAGATGTGCGTCGGCAGTGATCTGGTTAAATTAATATTACTTGTATTCGCATTTAGATATGCTCACCACCCACTCTCTTACTCTGTCCAGTGCACTTATAAAGTGGACTGTTTTAGTAAGAAGCTATAGTATGTATGCACCTACTGTCTCATATAATTGCTATCAAACAATTATCGTGAAGTTAGACATCCTCTCTAAATCAACTTTACTTGGGCTTTACTCAAAATACCTTTTACACATTCTCTGTCCAGACGCTTAACCACCTTTTTCCTTACCACACTCCTTCATTTTCGTCCTCTACCGTCTTTGAAAACATCACCACCAATCTCAACACTCACTCTTCTGATGTATAAAAGATGGCTTTTCTTGTTAGGCTTTAAGATCAATTGATTTTAAAGGGGATAACTCATTAAGTTTATAAAGTTATTTTTTCTTGGTATGTAAGCTAATAACATCAGTAAAGCTACTTTATTAATTGCTTGAGATATGTTCATTAAAAACGGATGGTCTTAATGTATAACAAGAAGTAGCCATATTTTTCACATCACAAGAATGAGCGTTGAGATTGGTGGTGATGCTTTCATAGACGTTATAGGATGAAAGAGAAGAAGTGAGGTACGAAAATAGGTGGTTAAACGTCTGGACAGAGAATGTGTAAAAGGTATTTTGAGTAAAGTCCAAGTGAAGTTGATTTAGAGAGGATGCCTAATTTCACGATACCTGTTTGATACGCTTTCTACAGAGAAAATTTCATTGATTTAAATTTCTCTTGCAAAGAAATCTTACGAATCGAGCACAACCAACATCTAGTAGATCTTAAAAATTTTCTCTTTGGCATTTTTATCTTTATTTGATATAACTTGGTACTTTCACATCTCCCCTTTCGCCTTGTATCTTAGATGGAAACATATTTTGAAGAGTTCTGTGGTTAAAAAAGTTTTTCTTATGTGAATTAAACCACTAAATTTACGTTGTATAACGAGCACCAACAATATGACCATCACTTTCGTTTTAGTCATAGATAACTTTATACTTATTCACTTATCAACTATATCTCCATGTTCACAGGCTTATTCTTGCTGACTTGTATCATCTCATCGGCCTTAAGGGAATTTTTTGCCTTTCTTCTTACTAATTCGTGAGAGAGAAGTTTTATTAAATCAGAACGAATTTAATCTTGTTTCAGAGGTAGTTATAATATGTTAGGTTTCATAAACTTGTAAGCCAACAGGCGTATGCAAAGTAAGGGATCGAAACTTGTCATTCATCAGTTTAAAATAGCCAAGGGGGTTTCCCATCAGAGAGTCTCCATGATGTTGGTCTTCTACCAAAATTAGTGCATGTAAATTTTCCCATAGGCTTTCTATAAATTTAAGATTGACTGGAGTTTTTGGTACTTGCCAATCATATGCCTTCACTTTGCTTCAGTGTATTTTTTTACCCGAGTGCCAACTAAACCTGCTGATAGGTAATAAAAAAATAATTCAAACCAGAATGCGGCAATTACATTTTACCTTAACTCTTCTCCTACCACAAATCCACATAACACTTTTTATTACTTAAAATATTTGCGACCTAGGAGGTGGGAAGAGGGAGGGGGGAGATGAACTTTTGTTCACCTCTCCGCCTCTCCCTACGTGTAGGACGGAAGAAAACTTATGGAGGTAAAGTATTAACTAAATTGCACCTAATGACAAACTAACTGGTGTGAATTTTCCTTCAAATAAGCTATAATTTTTCATAAAAGCTAAATTTTTTGAATAACTTTAACAGCAGATTAAATCTGAGATATCCTTGCGTTAGATTTCTGCTTTATAGAAACAAAATCTGAGGAAATGTGTGGAAATGGATATGGTTCCCTAAAGAACATGCATACATTAGGAACTCTTGTATCAATATTTATTAGAAATCAACAATGAAATTTCATTTTTGAATGGTTTAAATTTTCATTGTGATTGAAGTCTCCTTTTTGTGAATTTGAAAAGTTAATTCCGGTTTAAGATACGTTTCTAAGGTGATTAGTGAAGAAGGTAACAGTTTTTTTCGAATAAATGTAAGCATTCGGCTGTATTTTCACTCGTAAATTCTCAAAACCGCTAAAAATATGTTTGAAGGCTAGAGATGGCTTTCATCTTAAATTGCGGATGCTTAAAATTCCTCCTGCTCCTATCCCCTCGTTGAAGTCTAATAATTCGCAGCTTTTCACAAACTGCCATTAATTGTAAAATTGAATGTCCCCGTTGTTAATTTCCTTTATTTTACATAATTTTAGGCGTTTCCGCATTAAGTTAAAGTTATATTCAGAATAAATAGGATTTACTTTTTAATCTTATGGTATACAACATTTGGCATTGGATTGGGAATGTAACACAATAATAAGAATAGCTGCGCGGAATGTGGTACCAGCAACCGTGTGACTAATATTATTTATTAATCCTTTTCAAATTATGTAGAAAGGACCGTATTCTAATCACGAGTTTGATTGGGAAATTTTATTTGAGAATTTATCAACAACCGGAGGCAAGGTAATATAGAATTTAAAAATTTCGAATTGAAAAGAAAAAGAGCAATTCAGAAAGGAGTTTTGATAGGTTATATTTCATTTTATACCTGTTTACCTGGAAATCGTTGAGCCTACGCAATTGGACGATAAATTTCACTACTTTACTCCCTTCTGTATTCTTTTAATAATTTGTGGCTAAATCGGTTCAATTATTCGTGTACCGATTTCTTTCCACTAATTCAATACACCGAGGCTTGTGATGGGCTTCTGTCTGGCCCTTTTGCGTTGGCATTAACCAATGTGACTGTTTATTTTAATCTACATATGTTCGAGGATTTACCTCCCATAATCTTTAAAAGAAAATGTCTTACAAGTCCGATCTGTATAAGTTATGGATATCTCTCTTTATCTGTAGAGTATTTTCATTCATTTCAATCATCGGATGCATATCCATATCTTTAAAATTCGTTTAACTTAGTGAAATTCACTTTATATCCCTACCTTTAAACTTAGCTTTAGATATTAATAGTCTCTTTCGTGTAAAATTTTCATTATTCTTTGAAAATGTTAAAATTCTTTAATGTTAATAAAAATGCAGCTTTATTTTAATTACCGTTATTTCTCAAAACTGTTTTTGCATAATTAACTTGCAGTCTCCCTTTCAACTTTCGCATTTTTTAATGGCTGAAGATCACGAAAGATCACGCTTTTATCTTTTTTTTTTCAGCAAATAAAAATTCACGAACTTTCTTTTCGGGGTGTCTGTCCTTTTTTATTCTTTATAGCAAAGCTGATAAACTGGAAGTAGTGATGGCGCGGATCGTGGCTACATACTCAAGTCGTTTAAAGTGCTTATTTTAATTCATCTTGATTAAAAAGAGATACGCGAATCCGGCTTAAAATAAGTGTCTTCTGTCAATGGTCCTAAAGGAATGATGATGATAGGAAGGCCCTTTTTCTGTACCCCCACTCATGATCATTAATATAGTTCAGTGAATTTCTGTCGATTAACATCGAATCCATCATTGTTGACTTGTTTGGTGATACACTCCTTATTAATCTACATCTGGTTATGCTTTTGTAATAACCCAACTCTTGTTCTTGCAATAAGTCACTAACGAATGCCCACACCCTAACTTTTCGTGTTTTGAAACGTATCAAGATGGTTTGCGATTCTGTTTGATGATACTGAGATACTAGGTTTAAATCTTTATATTTTGAGAATAAAACTTTTGGTTTAAAGTTTTATATATAAGTGTAAGTAAGAATGCTATGTTGTATTAATTTAAAAACAATAATAATAGTTATGTTTAGAGATTCAAAATGAAAAATTTTGAGAAATAAAGATTGTAAAATATTGTCAATCGTCAGTTTGTTTTCTTGAAGTCGCATTTTTCTTTTCATTTCAAATTTGTATGCGAAAGATCCTTTGTATTAATTCTTTTAGTGAAATTTCTCGTTTAGGAATTATAAAGTAGAATATTAGAAAAGTTCACCTTCATTATTTTCAGAAAATTATTGGTTGTTATGCAAATTATTCCTGCGGAAAAGTTTTTCTCGTATCTTGACATAAAGTATAATTTATTATTAAATTGCATTACTTACTTGGAAGCTATCAAAAAACTGATTTAGAATTTATTCAGGGTTCCACTTCATCGTATTTATCTGATGAGCACCGTTTCCATCTTCTTGAAATTCTGACATTTTCAATTTTTTAAAAATTGCCATTTTAAAGGGCTTTTAAATTGTTAGAATCTTAATTTTTTCTTATTCGCTTTCGGTTTGTTTTTTAAGAATGAAATTGCGGTAATATTCACTGAGCTAAAATTGAGCAATTTGGTACTTTTAACCCTTTTCAACCTTTGGAAGAGAGAATTAAATTGTGTCGACTGAGTACTGAATACCATTGGCCAGTGTTTGCTCTCAATGCCACATTGACGAATCACAGAGCATTGAAACGGTGAAGATCTAATTAAGCATGTAGTGTTCAACGCGACTACAAAACATAAAGAGAAAATCTTTGAATACTAAACCTATCTAATTCTC